ATATTTATAAATAATTTATTAAAATAATATTTTTTAATTAAAAATTTTAATTATTTAACTTATAAATTTAAATATTTTTTATTTTTCTTGCGAATTAAAATTGGTATGAAAATCCATAAGAAAAATTACCTATAAAAGTTTTCTACCATTTATTTTAATACTGATAAATATTACCTGCAAATTTATTTTCGCAAGAAAATTCTTATGAAATAAAATAAAATTCTTACCACATTTTCTGCGAATTTTTACCATGAAAAAAATCTATGATTATCAAAATTGTAGCAAATTTTGTAAAAATTTCTTGTAGATTATTTTTCATAAAAAAAAAATTGTAAAAAATTTCTACAAATTATTTTTCACAAATAAATTTACAAAAAAAAAATTATAGATTTTTTATTGCAAAAAAAATTCCTGTAAATATTTTTTTGTGAAAAAAATTGCAGAAAAATAACATTTTTCTAGTAGTGATCCAAGCACACTATACATGATTTTTTATACAATTATTTAAGCACAAATGTTCAAGTAAGGTAAGTTTATTATCTTTTATAATAATTACCTTAAAAGTCATATCAAAATTAATTTATGATTGATTGACTGCAAAAAAAAAAAAGAGTTAATCACATATATATTGCCAGTGTAAAATTTTTTACACTGGCAACCAATCAAATTTGTTAATAGTGCCTTTTTTATTTTAATTTAATTAAATAAGCAAATGACATGACACTATTAATAGATCTGATTGGTTGCTAGTGTAAAAAAAATTTACACTGACAGTATATAGGTGATTAACTCAAAAAAAAAATATAAATATATAAAATTATTCTCTAAAAATATTTTTTTTACATTAAATTAGGAGTTTAAGAACAGGTGGATTGAAACTTGAAAGACATGGGTACCAAGCTAAGGGCTAAGAACACATTTGGATAACAACTAAAATCAAGTTCACCTACTATGTTTTTTATTGTATAAACCACAAGTATTTTTCAAAATAATTTTTCTCAAATTGGGTACACCATTATTGGTGGTAAAATTCTCCTTTTGAATATTTAAGACAACTGTGTACACAAAACTCATAATTAAAATCATTGATTTACCTAAAACAACACACACAAGTTGATCCTCGATAATATTCACATACTATGTTATATTCTAATGTGAACTTTTAAAAGTTTTAAAATAATTCTATTAAAACTTAAAACAAATATACACAACTTTTAATTTAAGTTGATTTAACGTATTTATCAATTAATTTTGGTGTAGGATTGAATTTTAGTTTTAAAATGAATTATTAGGATTGATTTCTCATTTATTTATTATTTATTACATAGTTAAAATTTTATGTTAATATACTAATTTTGATATAGTTATATTATGTTAAAAAATAGTTATATTATGTTAAAAAATAGTTTTATTTTAAAAAAACTATTATAAATGGATAATAATACTAAAATCATTATTTTTAATAATAAGAATGAATATATATATAAGTAGATCGTAATGTGTTAACTGATCACAAATTTTTGAAATGCTTGTTTGATAAAAAGGAGCTCAATATGAGACAACTTTGGTGAATAAATTTTTTGAAAGATTATAACTTTTAGTTGGGCTACTGTGGTTACAGATACTTCGAGCAGGAAAACTATCAACATATCATCTTTGATGATCAAATAGTTAGAGCTAGTGGAGAAGTTTAGGGATCTAAACTTGTGTGTAGAGATCTCGATCTCTAAATCATGTTAGTTTTGGTATGACAATTGTGACTAATAAGTTCATTAAAAGAGTAAAGAAAATTAGTTGAAAGATCCTTCTTCGTTGAAGACTAGAAAGTTGTTGAGTTCTTACAAGGTAGTAGGTTTCGATATAGGTGATGATGGAATTTTAAGGTTTAAAGGCCTAATTTGTCTTCCTCAAGATTTTAAGTGAAGAAGATAATTCTTGATAAAAGTCATAAGAGAAACCTTCATCTACATAGCATGATTGAAATATACCAAGACTTGAAGAAGTTGTTTTGGTGGTTTTGTATGAAGAAGGAAGTAGCAAAATATATGGTAGCTTGTTTGACTTGTCAGAAAACTAAAGTTGAACATCAAAAGTCCAATGGTTTTATTATAGTCTATGGAGATCCCATTGTGGTAGTCAAATTGTACCATTAAGCATTTCATGGATGGTAGGCTAGTTAGGATTAGTGATGTTATTCGGATGATAGATGACAAGTTGACAAAGTGTGCTCACTTCTTGCCAACTAGTATTATCTTTGGTTATGATCCAATGTCCACTTCTAGGTTATGTCATAGTTTACGCCAGGCCCTACTAGGCTGAGGTTAAGTTATATTTATATTCTATAGAGAGATGGGAATTTGAGAACACAATCTAGTCCTTGGAAGACTTGTTGAGAACATGTGTTATAAATCATTTTTACCTATAACAATAGTTATCATGTTAGCATCAGTATGACATCGTTTGCATCCTTATATGGTAGAAGATGTTGAACTCATTTATGTTGGTATAAAAGAAGGTGAGACTTTGTTGGACCTAAGTTGGAGTAGTAGACAACAAAAAAGGTGAAGTTGATTTAGGAATAGATAAAGATCGTTCATAGTAGACATAAGTCTTATGTTAATAGGTAAACATATGTTTTGAAGGTGACACCCACTACTGAAATGGGAAGGGCAATAAAGTCCAAGAAACTAAACACTAAGTTTATTGGACCTTATCAGATCATTCGTCGTGTAAACTCATTTACTTATTAGTTGGCTTTAGCACCATTTCTTCCAAACCTACATAATGTGGTATACATTTCTTAGTTGAGGAAGTGTATTCAAGATTTAGTTAATGTGGTACAAATAGTGTGTTGTACAAGTTAAGGAAATTTTGACATATGAGATGAAGTTAGATAAGGATGTTGATCAGATGTAAAAACAATTAAGGGGTAAGTCCACCAATCTAGTTAAAGTTGTATGGGACGAGGCCACTGATGAGTCCATATGAGAGCTAAAAGAAAGGATCAATTATCAATACCCATTATCTCTTTTAACACTATTGTTTTCATATGTATGTTTTATATGATTTTATGTTATCATGTGTTGTTGGTTGAGTTTTTGGTGGTTGAGTACAACTTTAAGGGTTGAGAATCCTTAAGATCTAAGTTGTTGAGTCATAGTTTAAGTTGAGGTAGAGTTTGACCAAGAAATAGAAAATATATATAAGGGTTTTAGGAAACTAAAATTTCCTAATTAAGTTTCGTATTCAATAATTCCTAAAGATAAATTAAAAAGAGGAATTCTAGAACTAGTTAAAACTTTTATTCACTTGATCCTTCTAGAAGCATCCAAACCCTACCCTGAAGTTGATTTTGAGTCTTAGAAGTTGATTTGATCTCTATAGAGCTCAAATCTCAGGAAAGAGTCCACCTTAGAAGGTTTTAATGTTTTCCCCTTTCTTCTAGTATTAGCTTTTAGGAAGTTAATTGAGGTAAGGGAAGCTCATTATTTGATTTTTTAACATTATTTTAAGATGTATATGATGTTGAAATGCTAATTTTATTGGTCAACTTGAGGATTTAAAGGTTTTAGATAGTTAGGGTTTTGGGTCATTTTGGATCCTCATTTTTTGAAGTTGATTTCTTTATTTAATGTTGATGCATGTGTAATATAAGGTCTTTAATGGTATCATATTGTTGTTGTGATTAGTTTTAATGGATTTCATGTGAGTTTTAGAGCCCTAAGAGTGCATGCATGTTGTTGACATAGTGCATTCTCACTCAATAAGATGAACACCGTTGAACGAACCTTTATAAGTTAAAGGCCCAAGTGTTGGAAATGGTACTCTCACTCAACAATACCAGTTCCCTCAATGAGCAATAATGAACATGATGAAGCTCCATTCAATGACATGAGGTCGCTAAGAAAGCTTAGGCCATTGAAGGTTGGCCAAAGTTGAGTTGCTCAATGAGTTAATCTTTCCAAACAAGTTGTGGCCCCTTATGATAGGTCTAGGGAGACTCACTCAACAAGGTGGTTTCACCAAGTGAGAATTAGGCACTTGTAGTTTGCTCATTCTTTACTTGTTGAGGCGTGCTCTTGCTAAACAAGTGATGGTCTCTACCAAGATGTGTTTTCTATAACTCACTAAGCCAAATGTTGTGGTTGAGCGAGCTTTAGTCATTACTTAAGGCCTTAGTCGAAGGCTACTTAATGAGAAGTTCTTGTTGAACAAGTTTCCCTCCCTAAAACATGGGTTGCTCAATAAATCCCTTATTTTGTTTAAGAACTCTAAGTTAGATGATGTTTTATGTTAACTTGTTGATAAAGTTAGATAGTTGACTTATGATGATGTTGTATTATTGTTTAGATTGTAATACCAATAAGTTATATGTTGATGAAGTTGCATGTTGCCTAATTGAAAGTTGCTAAGGTGTATATTGTATAGTTGAAGTTGTATGTTGTGAAATGTTGATGTATTAATGCATATTTTCAAAGTTGAAAAATGAACTAGAAGAGAATAAAGTTGTTTTAACCTTGTCAAGATCCCAATATCAACTTGCCATCTCACTCTCGCATACCTCCTCAGTTCCCTACGCCGATTCACATGGAGCCCGAGCCCGAGGCTTGGCCTGAGTTTAATTCGAAGGACGAAGCATTCTCCTACTACCAAGCCCACGCCAAGTCCGTGGGCTTCTCCGCCATAATCAAAGCCAGCCGTCGATCCCGAATCTCCGGCAACTTCATCGACGCCAAATTCGCCTGCACCCGCTACGGCATAGCCCCCACTCCATCAAACCCTCACAAACCAAAACGGGCCCGAACCAACCCCCCTGGGCCCAAAACCGATTGCAAGGCCTGCATGCACGTCAAACGAACCCACCACGGTACTTGGATCATCTCTTCTTTCATCAAACACCACAACCACCAAACTTCCCCTCACCATAACAACAACACTGATAATAATGCAAGTCCTTCAAGGAAACCTAAGACTAAAAGAACCCTGCACCATTTGGGCGACCTTCAATTTTTGCTCAATACTCTCATGTGTATGCAGGACGAAAACCCTAATTTCTTTTACGCGGTGGATTTCGACGAGGAACAACGCCTCAGAACCGTTTTCTGGGTGGATGCTAAAGCTAGGCTTGACTACAGCCACTTCAACGATGTGATTCTTTTGGACACCACGCATGTTAAGAATGACTACAAATTGCCCTTTGTTCCCTTTGTTGGTGTGAACCACCATTCTCAGTTTTTGTTGCTGGGATTGGCCTTTGTGTGTCATGAGTCTGAATCAACGTTTGTGTGGCTGATTAGGACCTGGTTGAGGGCAATGGGAGGATGTGCTCCCAAGGTGATGCTCACGGACCGCGACCAAGCGCTGAAGAAAGCGGTTTCTCAGGTGATTCCCGATGCTTGTCATTGTTTTTGCTTGTGGCATGTGTTGAGTAAGGTTCCTGAGAAGCTCGGTCGTGTGGTGATTCGGCATGGGGAGTTTATGAGTAGGTTTAACAAGTGTGTTTTGAGGTCTAGGACAAAGGAGCAGTTTGAGAAGAGGTGGGGGAAAATGGTTGAGAGGTTTGAGTTAGGTGGTGAGAGTTGGTTGTGGGACATTTACGAGGATCGGGAACAGTGGATGCCGGTGTTTATGAAAGGGAGGAGTTTGGCTGGGATGTCTACTGTGCAGAGATCAGAAGCTATGAACTGTCTGTTTGACAAATATGTGCAGAGGAGAACTACTCTGAAAGAGTTTTTGGAGCAATACAGAGTGGTATTGCGGGTTAAGTGTGAAGAGGAGGCAAAAGCGGATTTTGAAACACTGCATAGACAGCCGGTGTTGAAGTCCCCTTCACCATTTGGGAAACAAATGGTGGGGTTTTACACGCATGCTGTGTTTAAGAAATTCCAGAGCCAGGTTTTGGGAGCTGTTGCTTGTCATCCAAGGAAAGAAAGCGAAGAGGGGCCGGTGAAAATGTTTAGTGTTCAGGATTTTGAAGAAAATCAAGATTTTGTTGTTATGTGGAATGAATTGACCTTGGAAGCATCATGTTCCTGTTTTTCCTTTGAATTCAATGGCTTTCTTTGTAGGCATGTAATGATTGTGCTACAGATTTCTGGTGTACATGGCATCCCACCTCGGTATATATTGAAACGCTGGACAAAAGATGCCAAGAGAAGACAAATAGCAAGAGATGTGTCGGATGTGGTTGTCTCCGACTCTAAGGATAAGCGCTATAATAATTTATGTCAACGAGCCTTTGCGTTGGGCCATGAAGGGTCTTTTTCGCAGGAGAGCTACATTGCTGCTGTAAATGCATTGGAAGAAGCTTTGAGAAAGTGTGAGAGCCTGAATGATTCAATTCAGAGTGTCGGAGAACCGAACCTTCCATGTTTTGGTTCTCAAGAGGTGAATCTAAGTAACAATGCAGGTCACACTAACAAAAAGGATAGTACTCTTAGGGAAAGTCAGGTTAGTTTTGCCGTGTAAACCATTATGCTCTTGTTTCAGACTTTGTTCCCGTAACTTCAGAAATCCTTTTGTTTGCTCCTCTTATGTAGTAATGCTTAATAGGTATGCCCAGAACCAGAGATTATTGCTATGGGAGTTGATTCTAGCTGGCAGCAAGTGGTAGGTGCTTCTCATTTGAAGTACATGTTAGATTCATCAGGAAGATACTGATTGTGAATTTGTGATATTTCATCATAGAAGAATGTCTCATGGTTTGTATTTGTTATAGGGAAACCCAACTACACGATCAGCTGGCTTTGATTGTTCGTTTGAATCACAGCAGAGCATTCGGGAGCTGGTATGGCATTTTCCATTGCTACTGCACTCATTAAGTTACAAAGGAGAGTTTGTGGATGTTGAAATTTTGGCCCTTTTTGCAAACTCTGTTACAGGGTCAGCTGAACTCAAGAGCTCAGAACCTGAATGGCTATTTTGCTACTCAACGAATTGAGTCAGGAATGGTAAGTGCTCTTTAAAATTTAGAACTTTGAAATCCAATATAACAGCAGATATCCTGTTTTTATCCACTTCCTGTTGCTTTGAAGAATAATTAGCTCTCCTTAACACTGTTGAAGTACCAATTGAATTCAATAGCTACTATTTGCCGTGATAATTACAGCAACCAGCATGGCATCCAAGGCCTGGTAATGTATAATGGCTAGTCTTTGATGTTTTCTATTTAGGGAAAGACAGGTTAGTTTTGCCGTGTAAACCATTATGCTCTTGTTTCAGACTTTGTTCCCGTAACTTCAGAAATCCTTTTGTTTGCTCCTCTTATGTAGTAATGCTTAATAGGTATGCCCAGAACCAGAGATTATTGCTATGGGAGTTGATTCTAGCTGGCAGCAAGTGGTAGGTGCTTCTCATTTGAAGTACATGTTAGATTCATCAGGAAGATACTGATTGTGAATTTGTGATATTTCATCATAGAAGAATGTCTCATGGTTTGTATTTGTTATAGGGAAACCCAACTACACGATCAGCTGGCTTTGATTGTTCGTTTGAATCACAGCAGAGCATTCGGGAGCTGGTATGGCATTTTCCATTGCTACTGCACTCATTAAGTTACAAAGGAGAGTTTGTGGATGTTGAAATTTTGGCCCTTTTTGCAAACTCTGTTACAGGGTCAGCTGAACTCAAGAGCTCAGAACCTGAATGGCTATTTTGCTACTCAACGAATTGAGTCAGGAATGGTAAGTGCTCTTTAAAATTTAGAACTTTGAAATCCAATATAACAGCAGATATCCTGTTTTTATCCACTTCCTGTTGCTTTGAAGAATAATTAGCTCTCCTTAACACTGTTGAAGTACCAATTGAATTCAATAGCTACTATTTGCCGTGATAATTACAGCAACCAGCATGGCATCCAAGGCCTGGTAATGTATAATGGCTAGTCTTTGATGTTTTCTATTCTTTTCTACATTTTGGGGTTTAGATTTTCGCCAACATCTGTTTTTTGGTTGAATCTTGATGCAGGGACAGTTGAACTCAATTACACCCATCCATGATCCTCATTACATGGCCCCACAAAGGATGAATGGGATGGTATGGACTCTACAAAATGTTTACTATTGAGTAAATAGTAATTTTTGTTCCTAAAAGATTAGGGATCCGTTATTTAGTCCTTGAAAGATCAATCTGTTTGTCATTTTGGTTCCTATGTTAACTTACCCCAGTTAACACCAACGGAAATGCATATATGGCACGTTAAGTGCCAAATTGGATGCACATATTGGATAACTCCAGGTTCCAACTTTTGCCTAATGCCTATTCTCCCCTATTTGTTTCACACATTGTTGGCTTTGCTTCTTACTTTGGCAAATGAAACATGAAGCTCGGCACAATGGACTATGGAGACTTTCAAACCTCAATGCAAGCTTGGCAATATGGACACAAAGTTTTCACATCTTTTAATGCCACATGATGTTGTTTCAGTGTCACATGTGAATACAACATGGCACATAATGTGCCACATATATTTCCGTTACTGTTAACTGACTTTAGTGATGTAGGGATTAAAATGACTAACAGATTGATCTTTCAGGGACCCTCTTGATGAGTTATGAGCAATCAGTTTTTCAAGAGCTAAAGTGACCAGCTCTTAGTCGTTTAGAGACTAAAATGACTATTATGATTATTATGGGATGTGGACTTTGTAAATGACGGGAACTGCAGACAATAACCAAGCTTTATCTCACTAGGTGTAGTCAGTTATATGGATTAACCAACATCATTGTATGTACTCCATCAAAAATGAAAATAAAAAGAGAGAAAAGATATAATTCAAACATTTTAATGTCAAAACTTTTAGCACCTGTATGATTCTTAAAGTTAAAGAACAGTGACATTGTGTGACATGACCTGGTAATGATTCTTGGTTTCATTTATTGTAATGATATTGCTTTTGTATATCTCTTCATAGGGGGAAAGACAAGAATGTTCTACTCTTTGTTGTCCGATTTATCTCAAAGATACCTTAATTTAATGTTAAAGTTGATGGATTTTAAATTATAACCTTTGCTGTATTTCAGTGTGATGGTTGTATGACATTATCATGATGATATCCCCCATGCTTGTAGGCTAGGAACAGTTACATCTCACTTTCAGACAACCAATAATCCCAAGTTATTTTGATGTTCAAGATAGTTCACCGAATTTGGTAGTAGAGTCACTCATGATTTTTATATACTTTATATTTTTTTCTCTTTCCTTCTAATTCCTAAAGTTTCACGTTCTTGTAGGGTCAGCCTGATGGAGGGTCCTCACAACTCCATGAGTTGGAGGTAAAGGTAAAACAACAAAATTCAAGGCACCAGTATCAGTAAATAGGTTATAGGCTGACATTGTGCGTTGTATATCAGCATGTATGTGTTTCATCTAATTGTATGTATATATTAGAAGTCCTTTTATCGAAGGAAATATATAATATTGATTAGAAATCAAATAGTATCAGGCATTATTTGATGAGCCTAGATTGATCCCCGCTCGTTTGGTGGAGATGTAGGACTTTTGTTTCTGAACATGCGAAAATGCATCAAGCAATACCATATTATTATTCTAGCACTAACCCTTCCATATGCGTTAAAGCTGTTGGTTTCATTTAATTACATTTTTTTTTTCATTTACTTGTTAAAAACAGAGTAATAGCTTGTTATATAGGAATAAAAGTTCATGGCTTTTATCACTTCACTGTATATAGCAGTAATGCAAGATACATATGAAAGATAAAAGCTTGTCACTTTACCTACTTATGCATATTGGAGGACATCATAACGTCCAAGAGAATGTAGATTTACGTCTCTGAAAGCTAATGTTTATACCATTTTTCTTTCTTTCCTACCATATATTAAGCTTAACTTATCGGTGTTATGGCTCAGCTTATGTATAATTAAGTAACGTTTGAAATTTTCCACCACCTTTTTCTTTCAGAGAAGGTGACATAAGATTTTGGACATCTGTCATGTTTTGATATGGTATTTCAATCAAATTTAACGTTGGAATATGAACCAATGTATATTAATTAATTTGATCTCAACAAGTGATTCTTGCTTTCCAAATTCAATTATTCACTGACAATACTCTCAACACATAATCGTCCAAGAGTTTTGATCAAGTCACTTTCGTCATTGAAAATGACTTGAGCTAAACTTGTAGAAAGATATAATGAAATTTCTGCAAAACTAACATTGACGTTCTCATAACTATGTAACCCAAAAGATTACATAGTATACCATATGAAATTTAATGCAGTTGGGTTTTTCCCTTTTATTTGTAAGAACATTTTTGGGCTAGCTTTGATATAAGTCGAGCCTGCACTTAAAGTTGGTGCTTTCCCCTAAGCCCATCTAATGCATTAGCAAAGTGTAGGAATTGAATTAAGAAAAAGTAAAAAAGACGATGGGAATTTGAGCTGAAACTTCAATGTACATACCAAGTTCTGACAATGAAATATAGTTATTGCTCAACAAAGGAGTTTTATCACCTGAAAGATGCAAAATATTCTAAGAATTCATTGAATTTGATTGAAATTTAAAATGACACAACATATAAGAAATAGATTAAGATAAAAACTAGACTATTTAATATAAATGTATTAGGCCTAATTTTTAGTTATAAGTAAAAATTAAGTCACAAATAATTTGGGCCAGACAGACTCTATTCAACTCACACATCTCATGTAATAACCTTTGGAAAACCCTAATTAGCGTTCTAAACATACTAGTTAAAGAAATTAATAATAGATAATTTTATTATAAAAAAAAAGTTATTAATGCACCTCATTGTAATTTATAATGTATTATTTTTAGGTGTGTTCATGATCCGTTTGATCCGAATGGGCTTTCAATGGGTAAGAGTTTAAAAATTTAGATGTGATATATTTTAAGGACAAGTTTAAATTATACTTTAGATCATCTCACTTTGGTTTAATGTTATATATTAGTTTTTTAAAAAAAGTATAATTTTTTTAAATTATGTATTGATAATAAAAATTTGTTGACTCAATAAATAATGATTTGACCAATATAATATAATATTGATATCATTCATTTTAAAATATATATTATAAAATATATCTTAGTAGATATATATTCATTAATTTTATAATTTAAATTTATATATAATGTAAAATTTAACATGTATGGTTAAAAATTAAGTTGAACTAATCCTCTAAATATTATCATAAGTTTATTGGGTCGAGTTTAAGTTCACAAAATTAATCTCATTAAATTTTTGAGTTAGATAAAAATATGGGTAAACTTGTCCACTAAACATCCCTAGCATTTGTAACATAACTTTCACTAAAAAAAACATTTCCTTTGTTGATTTCTTAATAAATTTTCTAAGTATACTAATTAACAAAATTTATAACTTTTTTTTATAAAAGATTTAGAGTAAGATAAAACACGATCTCATATAAATTTAATTACTTACTATTTTGAATATGTCAAATGAAATTATAAAAAATTATCTATTCCATTTTTGCTTATAACTTTTATTTTGTTTCTGCTAGTTATAGATTTTGTTAACTAATCCATTACTAATACACTCGTGCCCATTTATCATTCATATGTTTTAGTTACTGAACATTTTGCATAAGCAAAAAATGTCACAAAGTGACCGGTAAAATACTTGTTTCTTTAAGTTTATTTTTTATAAAACTAATTTTATTCCCTAAACCATTCATCAAAATAAAATTTATAACTTGATAAAATGTTATTTTAATTTAAAATTAAGATCAAGTACTAAAAATAAATCTAATCACACCGCATGTGAGATGAAATTCTACCCTAAATAAATAAATAAAAGTCCACAGTTGATATTCAAAATCCTCATCTATAATATATATAAAAATATACTTCTTATCATTTTCACTTTTTTTTATAGATATTTATATCCTTTTATTTTATTATATTTTTTTTCCAATCATATCTCTTAAGATAAAAAAAAACTAATTATTCACTCAATCAATGATAATTATCATCTTATTTTGTAATTAATTTAGTCTTCAATTTTGCTTAAAATTATTTTATTATTTTTCTTAATTATATATTATTTTACTTGATTTATATTATTTTAAAAAATATATGTAAAGATATGAAATGTATGTATCTCACTAATATTAATATAAAATAAATTAATGAAAATTTAATAATTAATATTCTATCTTGTCAGTTATTTATTATGACAATATTAACATATTATTTGTAGGTGAAATTAATTACAAGATATTGAAGTGACATGGAATTATTTACAATATTAATGAAATTAATGAAAATTTACGTAAGAGTCACTTCAAAGAGTGAGATAGCTGATTCAAAGATTTAACATGATTGCATATACAAGATAAATAACTGGTCCCAATATTTAATGCGACTGCATATACAAGATAGGATTCGAACTCCTGACCTTATTTAAGCATGAATCAACCCTGTACGCTTGTAGAATTAGTATGAGAAATATCGTGTGTTTTTTCCTCGTTTACTCCTCATTCCCTATATAAAAATAAAATGGAAAACCGGAAAGTAAAAAATGTCATTTTCGAGACTCCACAATCTTCGTCTGTGTCTACTGCTGACTCAAACTCCAACACGCTTCTCATTATTTTCTTCTTCTTTACCTTTGAGCAGAGGCAGAGGCAGAGGCAGAGCAGCACTCTCAACGAAGGCAGCAACGGACATGGTGAAGGCGATCAGAGTTCACGAACTCGGTGGAGCTGAGGTTATGTCTCTTTTTTTTTTCATTTCTCTCTAATCTCTTCTCTCTCGCATTCAACTAATTTGAATTCCTGACAGGTTCTCAAGTGGGAGGATGTGGAAATTGGTGAACCAAAAGAAGGCGAGGTTCGGGTGAGGAACAAAGCCATTGGAGTTAATTTCATCGATGTCTACTTTCGCAAAGGAGTTTACAAAGCCCCCTCTTTACCCTTCACTCCAGGTTCCCTACTTTCACTCACATTCCTCACTAATAGGGAAACTAAATCACGGACTAATTACAGAAATAGGAAAACCAATGTGCTAATTTCAATTTTAATTTACCAGCTACTTGTTTCATGGTTTTAATTTGAGCCACCAATCTAACTTTGGAAACGGAATATCCACATTAATAATGTCTCTGATTCCAGCATAGAATGGATCCTTTACTCATACTCAAAAAGTTTGGATTATTGATCCAATTTCAAAATCTTACGTTTCTTAATTTAAGGACTTAGTTTATAATTGATTCTTCATGTATACAAATTACAATAATGTGTATTATATCACAATTTGTACAATTGATTAGCAATCCGAGGCATTAGTCCACTAAGTCATCTCTCCCCAATTGAAAGAATTGAATTACTTTTTTGTAATATCACATAAATAAGAAGAATAAAAGATGGAAAATTTGTACATTGAGTTTTTATCAACTTTCAAATTCCTCCTCAATTAGTTAAAAGAACGAAATTAGAGACAAATCTAGCTAGCTTAGACATTAATATGGGGGGAGTTGATCAAATTTGTGCATAACCATGATTCTTGCCAGTACTCAGTTTGCTAACTAGGCCGCACCTTGTGGTTAATGTTGATGTACTATTAGTTGAAACTATACAACCATAAATCCACATCTATATTTCCTTAACTATTTCCTGTGCTTACTTCCTTTCTAGAACTGTGCTAGTTTTATAATGGAAACAAAAAAGAATTAAGAAAAGAATGGATTACCTCTTTAGCATAGAAAATATATAATCATCCATAATTCTGTTTATATTTTTAAAAAAGAAAATTATGTATCTATATATTACTCGATTTAATAATTACCAATCTAAATTGAGCTCCTGATGCCAGCCACATAACTAATTCTTGTCTATGTTTTTGAAGCAAAAAAATCACCATCTAAGCTATTTGAAGTCTCTTACAATAATTTAGCACTCCGATTCTTCATCGCTTCATATATTTTTAGCTCTAGAATTACTTCATCTACAATTAAATATATGCACTGCTGATGACTTTTGTAACTTTTCGTTTAAATGTAACTTATGTAAGGGTTCATTTGTTTTAAACTTGGGTAGAATTGATTTTCATAGAATTAATTTTAAACCGTTGGATGTAATTGCAATAAGTTTCCAAATTAATCTCAGCTATTATATTGGAGTGGGTGTCACAGTGGGAAAAATTGATTGTGTTTTCCAAATGGGCACTAAGTCGATTCCCAACTTATTGTTTACTGAGTTCTTTATTCCTTTTAATGTGGCAGGTATGGAAGCTGTTGGGGTTGTGACCGCTGTGGGTGCTGGACTCACTGGTAGGCAGGTTGGAGATCTTGTAGCTTATGCAGGTCAACCAATGGGCTCATATGCTGAAGAACAAATACTTCCTGCAAATAAAGTAGTCCCTGTCCCTTCGTCCATTGACCCAACTATTGCAGCATCCATCATGTTGAAAGGCATGACAACTCAGTTTTTGCTTCGGCGCTGTTTCAAGGTAATTTTTTTTCTTGTTATAATCATTGTAGCTGAAGCCATTTTGCTTTTTTCCTTTGCTTTTATTAGCATATTATTCTAGATTCGTTAGTTTATTTAGCAGATGTTAGGATTTAGAATATCAGTCAATTTTAGTTATTGAATAGCTATATTAATTTGCTTTGTAATTTAGTTCTTCATTAGTTCATATACCTAGTCCCTGTTTTGATGATCTTAGTTAGGCTTATGTGGCAATAAGTACTTATGAAGCATTTTGTCCGATCAGAAGGAGCTTATTAAAACAACCTTTGGAACCCATGTATGCAGTTTTTGGCTTATTTTTATGAGCTAGAAAATGAAGTTTATGCAAACAAACCTTTGTGAAAGCTTAAAACAGCTTTGGGGTATCTGTTTTCACCCAAATACTGTTCAGTTTATTTGATCTAAAATCCCATTATTGCATTAACTACTTATTGAAGTGTTTATCCAAACCGCATTTATCATATTTTAGATTGTACTCATGACAGTAAATAGAGCTTATTGTATACTCAAATGAATATTTATTTAAGCTTGTTTATCAAGACAAATTTAGTGTAGTCATGGTATAAACATGTCAAGGACCAACTCTCCTAATAATTGAAGCTGTATGGTATTGGCCAAATCATTGTTTATATATCTCTAACATGCAGCCTCACGGAAGAGCCCTTGGGTTGGAAATGCAAACAACAGACAAACAAATGTTACCTTGCGTTGAAATTTAAAATGATGAATAGGGCCAGCAACAATTGATAAGTTTGATATTATGTCAAGGATCAACTATCCTAGGTGTTAGCCCAAGAATGGTTTTATATCTCCGATGTTCGGTAGCCAGTGTTTCCTTCTTCTGTCTTCTGTGCCTTCTTCCCATCAGTTTTCTTTTCCTTCACTAGAACTTAGCATTTTCTGGCCTATTTCTTCAAAAACTTTTGTTTTCCATAGAAAAATATAGTATATTAACTGATAAATTCATGCTTTATCCTGAATTCAATGCATTTTCTCTTAGTTTGTCCCTAGCTTGATAATTAACTGAGACTCGTGTACTTACAGGTTGAACCTGGTCACACAATTCTTGTTCATGCTGCAGCTGGTGGTGTTGGATCCCTATTGTGCCAGTGGGCAAATGCTCTTGGCGCAACTGTAATAGGAACTGTATCCACTAAAGAGAAGGCGGCTCAAGCCAAGGAGGATGGCTGCCATCATGTTATATTTTATAAAGAAGAGGATTTTGTTGCCCGCGTCAATGAGATTACGTCAGGCAATGGAGTGGAAGTAGTCTATGATTCTGTAGGAAAGGATACCTTTGAGGTAATACCTATTCTATAATATACTAAACCCAAGTGAAATTTGAAATCAGATGGTTTGGTACTTGAGTGGGAAGATAAAATTATTGGGCATAAAATAGTATTTTAGGCCCTGTAGTATACAGCCTTCTCAGTTTTAGTCCCTACAAAAAATTCCTATTAGTTTTAATCACTAAAAGATTTTTTTTTGGCATTTGGTACATGTATGATTCTAATCACTATAATAATTGGTCCACGTTGAACTAATCATTGTAAAATAAAATTGATGTCATATTTTGGGGACTAACTCAGCATGGACCTTTTAGGGACTAATATCAAATAATGAGGACCAAAAACAAAAACTCTAAGGAGACGTTTGTTTTGGGTTATCTTCCTCTATTCCCAGGAAAATGAAGATAGGAATGTTTATTCTCACATTTGTTAGAAGGTCATGCAATAATATTCCCAGGTGTCTTTTATTCCTAGAAAAGTGATATTCCCATGAGTAGGGAGGTTTTATTCCCATGGTGTAGGGGTGGATAACTGATATTCCCATGGGAATATTGTAAGTTATTTTTTATAACCCTTATAAATTCCATTTCATTTAAATTATTTTAAAAAAATATTTCAAGGAATATTAAAATTAACCAAACATTTTTTCTTATATTCCTAAGAATAACATTCCAGATTATATTATTTCTAAGAATATGATTCTTAGAGTACAATATCATTTCGTGAAACAAATGCTCTCTTATGTTTCAAGGATTAAAGTGGTGTGTATATTATGATAACTAAATATCTATTTAAGCCAAATTATTAATATTGTGTCTTGCATGGCTGGATCTATCAGAGGTTGCTTATTTTCTAATTCTTTACAGGTTCCTCCTGTTATGATAATTGAGTATGCGGAAATGTGATTAGATTTATAATTTATAATTTATAATTCAGTTGATCCTTCTGTTATGATAACGTAGAACTCAACATGAAACCTTTTTCTAATTTAGAAATTAATTCATATTGCTGCATTCTATTTGGAGTTGGTTTCTCAATGTGTTTGTAAATAATATTCAGATCAAAGATGTGGAGATTGACTCCCAGTTTGAATATGGGTCCTTATGGCTCCAAAAGTAGAATCAATGCATTGCCACCCCCTCCATGCTCATGAAAGTATACTGCAACTTATGGAAAGATCGAATTTCTTGTACCTCAATTTTTTACTTTTCAGCTCTAACAATCCGCCCAATTGGGTCTGCCCCCACAAATAATGGCAGCTCCCCCTTCTTAGCCCAATTGTGTGCTTTCTCTGTCTCTAACATTGGCTCTCTCTTGAAGAATTCAGTAGGTCGGACCAATTGTTACTTTGTTAGGAACCCAAATTAGAAAAGAGAAAGAAAGAAAAGAAAGATTGTATTTCTTGATTGCAAAGGAACAAAGAATAGGAGAGGCAACTCTCCTTCAAGAGTTTTCCCTTCACAAAGGATTTCTCCTTTTACCATCAGCTAAAGCTCAATTTACAAATGAACAAATTTTTGAATGAATTTCCTCCCCTTCAGTCCTATCTATTTATGTTATTGATTCACTATGACAAACTAATATTCTAACTAACTCCCCTTCACTGTAGTCCTAAAAAGTTGCTTATTTTCTGATTCTTTACAGTTACTTCTGTTATGATAATTGGGCATCTAGAAATGTGATTAGATTTATAATTTATACTTCATTTGATCCTTCTGTTATGATAATGAAGAACTCTACATTAAACTTTTTCAAATTTTGAAATTAATCCATATTGCTGCATTCTATTAGGAGTTGATTTCTCAATGAGTTTGTAAGACATAATAATGTGACAGTAGATTTTTTTTTTTTTTTTGTCAAGACTTGTTAATACTTAATTTTATTGGTCAAACCCACAGGTGGGGGAATTGTCAGGCTATGGATTTTAATCTATAGATTGGGGCCCTGAAATTCAGGGATTACTGTCGGATAATACAGTGTAGAAGCAAACTTAGCATCTTCATTGATGGTTACGAAACTAAAATCTTCTTGATGAAAGCTTTATTTGTAAGGATTTGTGTCAATATAAAAAGTAGAACTTTGGGTTACTATATTTCATGGTTTTTATTCTATCATCCCAAAATTTAAGAGCAATGTGGAAAGTTCTTGACAAGATATATGCTATGCTGTGATTTGTCCAGGGATCTTTGGCTTGCTTGAAGCTTAGGGGCTACATGGTAAGTTTTGGGCAGTCATCGGGTGCACCTGATCCAGTCCCATTATCTTCCCTGGCAGCAAAATCTCTGTTCTTGACAAGGCCCACCCTAATGCAATATGTTGTCACTCGGGATGAGCTATTGGAAGCTGCTGGAGAGGTGTTTGCAAATGTTGCTTCTGGTGTCTTGAAGGTTCGTGTTAATCATACTTACCCATTATCTGATGCAGCAAAAGCACACGAAGACTTGGAGAATCGGAAGACATCAGGATCTGTTGTGTTGATACCCAATGCTCTCAGTTCTGTGTAGGTGTTGTACACATTCCCTGTTTGATTCCTCTTGAAAAGAACTATAGATTGTGATTGCTGTTGCAAATGAATGTTATTCACTATAAATCATGGTACTTAAATAATGATTTGGCTAAAGTAATCTTCCCATGTTATCTTGTTTCCTACTTAACTATTTTGTTTGGTTGTCTTTTGTATATCCTGCATATCATTAACACAGTAAAGTAGCTGCGGCTCACCTTTGTAAAATTTAAATAAAATCTCATACCTAGTGAAACGACTTTGTGGGATGGGTTAGCTAGCTAATTTGACAGTTTGTTGTTTGGACAGTGTCCGATATATATGCAAACCACATGGAGTTAGTTGCTAGTTCATTAACACCGATCTTAAGGGGGTGTATTGGATTAAGATTTTAAAAGACTTTGTTAGTTAAAAAAATTCCTGTGAATTTTAAAAGACTTTACAAGATTTTCATGACTTTTAAGACTTTGTAAGATTCTGCAAGATTTTAAATCATGATTTTAATGAGTTCTGTAAGACTTTTAAGTCAGGATTTTAATAAATTTTGTGAAACTTTAAGGACTTTTTATAATTTTGTAGATTTTTGACATACGAAAAGAGTTCAAGATTTTTTTTCATAGATTAAAATTTAAAGAGTTAAAGATAAATAATAGAAAATAACAATGTCTGGATAAATAATAATAATAATAATAATTCTATGTAATATCATGTCCTTTTAGATAACATTCACCCATATATTCATAGTTATATCAATCCTTCAAGCATTAGGATTTTCTCGCTCATACTCCTAGGTCTATATAATAGGCTCAAAATTATTATCTTCATTAGTCGGTAATGTTGAAGATGAAGTTTGTCCATTGATTCAATTGAAAATTCATTAGAACGACATTTTTTACAAAGAAAATTATGTAATGTTGTACATGTTAACCAAGTTCTACTTGTTTCTTAAATAAAAATGGAAGTGTTGATTTAAAAATTGTGAACTTTAATTTAAAAAGATCAAATATTCTTTCGATTACATCCCTTAAAGACATATGATGAAGATTGAATAATTCTTTCTCATTTTCAGGGTCATTCCTGACCTGCAAAATCTTATAAATGATATCTTACACCTCGAAATGGAGCTAAAAATTGGCGTCAATTAGGAAATCCACAATCCACCAAGAAATATTTACCTAATTACATATGCAATATATATAATAGGCTCAAAATTATGATATTCATTTATTGGTAATGTTGAAGATGAACGTTCGTCCACCACTCCAATTGGAAAATCATCATAATGACATTCTTTACGAAAAAAGTTATGTAGTGTTGCACATGTTAAAAATTATTCTAAACAACATTTCAAATTGTTTATAATAGTGGGGCAGTTGCCGTACTCTCTTATAAATTTATAAATGATTAAAAAAAATATGTCCTTGCATTTTATATTGGTGTTTGAGTGAAAGTGTGTCTTTCATGTACTTTTATTCATTTAAAATATCTTAGAAATTTACAAGCATTAATTAGGAGAAGAAAAAATATATCTGAAATTTGTTACAAGTACAAAACAAAAATTGTGATTTTTTAATTGCTTTTAATTATTCACTTGCGAAGAAATATTTTTAGTATTAAATTCTAATATACTATAATGTTTTATGTTAATTTTCTTTTTTAAAATATAAAAAATTTTAATTTCACAATATAAAAATTAAAAAAATAATAAAAATCATAGTAAAAAAAGAAATAAAATAATTGTTGAGTGAGGAAGGATAACGGTAACAAACTCAAGAGATGGAAGAGATAATAGTTTTTGTGCTGAGAGAGTTTTTCTCCTAACTAAGATTCATTCTCATCTTATTCTAATAAATCTACAGTTAATTGTAGAGATCGTGTATCAATTTCAGCTTTCACCTTTTCCTTTTCTTTACCTAATTTATAAAAAGATCACTACTTAAAAGTTGAAATTTCAAGTGTTTTTTGTGTTATATATTTGAAGAACAAACTCAACTAAATAGAGAAAAATAGAGTAAGTCAATTAAAGAGAGTGGAGAGAAAAATAGAATAAGTCGACACTATCATTCACCAAATAAGGAATAGAATGAGAATAGTAGTACAGTATTATATATGAGGAGTACTGCAATATTGTTAGCAGAGAAAAAAATGGAAAAGTCAAGACCATAGAAAAAAAATGAAAAACTTACTTGAAAATTCTTAAAGCAGTTAAAAAGTCACTTCAAACAATCCTCCAAAATCTGATGGGTTTGGATGAGATTATTTTATGAATTTGATATTTATAAATATCACTAAAAAATCCTTCAAAATTCCTCTAATATAACAATCCTTTAAAATCCTTATATTTTTGAATAATAATGAATTATTTTTAAGTTATAAAAAGTCTCAAATGAATATCAATGGATTTTAATGAACTCTTTAAAAGATCTTGAAAATCCAGATTAAATATTACTGAAATATTTTTAAGTGACATAAAATTCTAATTAAATATCAACAGACTCTTTTTACTTAAAAGAGGTCTTTTAAAATTTTGTGAAATCATAAACCAATACACCACCTTATTGTATAAGCTAAGGCAAGCGCCATGTATGATAATTTTCTGACTCGTTCTATCTCCAACTTGTTTGGATAAATTTTTCATAAATATTTTTAATAAAAAAATAAAAAAGAAAAAATAATTTAAAATCAATTTATGTATTAATTAGTTTATAAAAGTTCTTTCGTGTTAGTTTTTTTTAATATTTTTATTTAATTTTAACTAATGAAAAACTTATAAATTTTCTTACTAATTTTTTTAGAAGTATTTATGGAAAATTTTATCTAAACATGCCTCCATTTAGAAATGTAGATTTGTAATATAACATTAGTCCTCTCTCACCAAGATTCTTAAGTTCTCAGAGGTTCATAAATTAATTTTAACACTAAGTTATCATTCTCATTTACAACTATTACTTTTAGGTTGTAAGGCTTGCCCTTTTAGCAAAGGTTTCATTTTTTACTTTTGTTTTTTCCTTTCTTGATTTTACACGTTTTCTCACATTTTACAAATACATAGACATTTTAGATAGCTTGCATAACTTTCATTACTAGGGTTTATTTAATTGTAATATTTGTGTATTCTTATTTATCTATGCAGATTTGTTTTTTAGTTTTTATTTTTTGATAAAAAAAAATGCAGGTTTGTTTAATTGCTTGTGAGATTAAAGGCAGTTATCTATATTTGCTATTTTCTAAACTTAAAAAAAAATAGAGAATGTGTGCCAGTAATTTTTTTATTTTTAGGAGGGTACCAATTTCGGTTAAATAAGATGCAGACTATGTTTGTTTTATTTTTTATTTTATTTTTTGATAAAAAAAAATATGAAAGTTTGTTTTGTGAGAATGAAGACAATTATTTTTTAGTGGTGGAAAATCATGTAGTAAGAGGATGAGCTTGAAGCGTAAGACTTTCTAATTAATTTGTTTTTTAATATATTACAAATTTTCAAAATATAAAATCAATCTTGGCCATTAAATAAACAAAAGATAAAGGTAAATATGTATTGAGTCTTAAAAACTATTTATTGGAATTTTATTGTGCATGCTATTAAATTCTTCAAGACATCTCCATGTTTAGTGAATTTTTTTTTATATGGGCATGATTAATGATTTCACTTTATATCCTTCAAGTGTACCCATAGGTTAGTTTTTTCCAACAGGGTTAACCTCATTACTTTCATTGTTCCACATATTACCTATTTCAGTAAGGTTGAGGCTGAGATATGAGGATTGAAGTTCAATCATTGAAATATACTTGCAACTACTTTTCTTCTATGTTTTTTTCCCTAGGCTTAGAGTTTCCTGATGCTTGAATAACCTTAGTCAAAGGTTCCTAACCAAGAGGGATACACTCTAATTCAAATGCATTGTTGTGACCTTCCATTTGAATTGAGTAATTAACTATTGTCATTGGATTCTCATCCTCTCTCACTTCCTTTATTTCAAATGAGTAGTTCTATGGAGAAACAAAATCTCCTATATTTTTAGTTTCTTCATCTATGATTTATTGATTCTATAAGGAGAAAAAAAAATAGAGTCATAAACCAAATGACCAAATAGAGAGTGAATTAAGAAGATAATTAATATTTAAATAGTATTTAACTTCAACATAATAGAATCAGAAAAATAAAATGTTTCAAACATATATCCTTCAATATACTTTATGCAACTATGTGATTCCCTTAAATTTTGTTGTCCCCCTAAATTTTACAATTATGCAATTCTATAATTCTAGAAGAAAAGGCATACACTAGTACTTGTATCACATTTTAACTTTAGATTGATATCAACATACGTATTGATGTTAAGTTGAATAGAACACAAATAATGAATATGAGATATGAGTAAAGTATTGATAAAAATAAGTAAATGAGGTTAATAACAAAGTGTTCAATCAAAGAACGATCTTAAATCTTTCAGGAATATATGTTTTAATGATAACAAACTCAAATGCTTTTGACAAAGAATTATTTTTAAGATCATACAACTAAAATGATAGCATATGATGATATGAGATATGTATTTTGATGTCTTTCTAACAAAATACTTCATATGTCTAGGATGAATGTATTAAATATCACATTTATTATGTCTAATGGTCATATCACCTAACAAATCAAAGGAATAAAAACTTCTTTGATATTTGAACTTTACAGAGGAACAAGGATTTCTTTTTAGCCAAAGAAAAAACAAACATATATTGCAAAGTGTTTGAAGTCACCTAGAAAGTCTTTTATGATTGACACATACAACAAATTCTCCCATTTTATACAAAAAAAAAAAATGTGATAAATAGTCTCCTTGATTAGATAAAAAGTGACAATTTGGTAAAATACATTTAATGCACCAATTAGCATCTTATTTTATAAGAAAGGGAGACGAAGAAAGATGAAGCAAGTTTATGAGTGATGCTCAACAGTCATCTTCATCATGCACCTATATAAAGAAACTTGAAGAATTCATAAAGAAAAAATAACAACGTCAATTTTTATTCATTCTTTCTTTCTATATAAAAAAAATCTTTGTACTTAAAAGTTTTATCATATCTTGTGAGAAAGAAGAAACAATTGTTATTTTTACTTAGCTTTAATTGTGCATTTTAACTTGAAGCTTGAAAAGGTTTTGTTATTTAAGGAATATTTGGTATTAAAGTCTAGAGAGACTTTTTTATTCAAAGAATATTTGGATAATTTGCTTGAAGAGACAAATCAAAGAATACTTAAGTTTGAGCCAGAAGTAGCATGTGATAGAATATTTATATCTTTAAAAAAGATAGTGAAACTTAATTAAGTTGATCAAGAATTGAACCTAATCTCGATGGTTGAGATGAACCACTATAAAAATACCATGTATTCTTTGTTTTTACTTTGTCTATATTTCTTAAGGATTATGCAATTATTTCACTGTTTCTAAAAAGTGTTAAATTTTTATTGGTATTATTCAACCTTCCTTCTAGTATATTTCTCTTCTCAACGCAAATCATGAGAAAGAAGAAGTATGTATTGCAATACTAAATACTAAATTGGTAATTATATTGAATTGAGTTGTAAATTTTGAAGAAGAAAAAAAAAACAACACATGCATATTGGATAGAAGAAAGTGCAAGTAATTAGTGAGAGATGAAACTCCTGGTAAGAGAATAAAAAGTTGATGTTGAGTTATCATTTGAAATAGAAAAAAAAACTAAAAATATCATGGAGGAAAATTGTATGATTTAATGTTTTTTTTAAATCCTCCTATGTCATAGTTCAATTTTGTGATTCACAAAAAAGTTTGCACTTGGTAGTTCAATTCCATTATAGACCTCAGAATGTAGTGATGACTTATCAAAATTTTAAACATACATAAAAATATAATTTGACAATCTACCGGTTAATAGATATCATAAATTTGAACATATTATTCAAATTCAATATTATAAATGAAAAAATATATATAGATGGAGGACTGTACGTAGAAAAATATTATTTAAGAGAATATGAAACTAAAATCAATTATTTACTGAAAGATTAAATTTTTTATTAATTTTATTTTCTTTGTTAAAAAAAATCATGTCACTTATGTTATTTGTTTTATTAATTGTATTATTTTTTGTAAAAAAATTCACATTATCCTTTGAAATTCAATAAAAATCCTTTTTAATATTATAAATTCTTAAAATATAAATTTATTAAAATTTATATTAGAAAATCTTGATTAAAAAATATTTTTAAATAAAATTTATTCATGGCTGACTATATTTTATCGTGTAATTTCTTTATCAGTTTTATTTACTTTTTTGTTTTATGAAGTCTGGTATGTGTAGAATGAAATAAGGATATCCAAGAGGCTTTAAGTTTTAACTCCTGACTTTGCAGCTCAGTTCCACAACTCAGGAAATACTGCAAATACTGATGGAAGAGTCTTACTCACTTGTTTCATGGCTCTACTATTTTCTATATTTTTGCAATTGCATGTGCTACAAGAACAATAAGGTTCTAACAACTTTATTCAGATTCTCCTTTTCTTGGCAGACAAAATTCATGAGATTTTATTTTTGCTTGTTGGAGTTTCCCATGTGTTACTATTTGATTTGATTTCAACCTTAATTCATGTTTTCTCATGGTCTGAAATTTTGGTCTGTACTTGGAGCCTAATAAATAAGCTTTTTAATTTTTAAATACTTGTTTTCTTTTTCATAGAAACATTTTTAGAAAGAAAAAAAAAATAATAATAAATAAATATATTTTTCATAAGATAAAATTAACTTATACATAAGTTAAAATGATTTTTTGATAATTTAATAGTGTTTTTATAAAATAATTTATAAATAAATAAATTTAAAAAATATTTTTTTAATCTTTTATAAATATTTCCGGAGTTTATTTAAACGTACCCTGTATTAATTAGTTAGTATCTGGTAAGTTGAATACATACTCAATTTCTCCTGTGTTGGACACTTTTACATGCTTCTCTTTTGTACTGTTAAAATGTTTTCCAAAAGTCAAAGTTTCAGCCTTATTATGACTTAGCCACGCTCTCCATCCAGACTTTGACACTTTTTGTCTCTTTAGACTTTTCTATTTCTCTATTCGGTTCTTACTATTGGCATATATCTATATCTATACCTAATAGAAAGATATATTTTAGTACTTATCTTTTTATTTCTACTTTTTAGTAGATATTTATATTTTTTAATGTAAAATAAAATAAAATTTTTATATTTTTCATAATTTTTAATATTTGTCTGTGTATTTATTAGAGATACGGAGTGTCTCGGTCCCTTTAATTACAATAAAAATTTTAAAAATAAATTTGGACAGACTGGATCGATTAAATTAAAATTTGATAATCTAACGGATTTGATTTTTAAATTATATTGATTATACATTTTACTCGTTTTAAATTAAAATAAATCAATCAATTTTTTGATCATATGAAAAATATATTTTAATATTAATATATTTATTTGTAAATATATCTAATTTAAATAATGATCATTTGTTTTAATATATTAATAATTACTTATTTTAATATATTTGCTTATAAATATATGTAATTTAAATAATTTTTATAATATATTATTAATTTTATATTATATATTTAATAATATAATATCTATTTAGATATTACATATATTATTTTATAATATCAATTGTAAGCATATTATATATTATAAAATAAAAATAAAAATAAATTTAAATAAGATGAAAATTAAAATTTAAAATAGAATATAAATTTATTAAAATTTATAAATATAAAATATATTTAATATAAATATATTTTTTTAAAAAATAATAAAATTGAATTATATGATTCAATTAATAATTTATCAAATTAATCTTTAATCCACTAATTTAATATTCTAACGATTCAATGATTGGTCCAATTTTAAAAATTATAATTACAAATACTCTTCCCTGCTACCAATGTTTTCTAGATACCCGTGAAAAAACTAGCCATTGTTCCCTTGGATTAGTGGTGGCTTCATCCCTAAAACAAAATAAAAATAATAATTTAGAAATCTATTTAAAATTTTGCAAATAGTTAAAGGAATATACTTTAATACTTTAAGTTGATATATTATTAAAAGGCATAATTTAGAGATAAAGTAGAGTGTGTGAGTAATGATTTCCATTGTACACGATCAGAGGCCACAGTGGCACTATCTAAGAGCATCGTTATCATCATCGTGAACACTGAACAAGAAGAAGAGACACGATGGTGAAGGCAATCAGAGTTCACGAACTTGGTGGTCCTGAGGTCAGTTGTCTTTCATATGTGATCATTATTCAGTCTCTCATAATCAGCTTAAATTGTTGAGTGGCAGGTTCTGAAGTGGGAGGATGTTGAAATAGCAGAGCCAAAAGAAGGCGAGGTCCTTCTGAAGAACAAAGCCATTGGGGTTAATTTTGTTGATGTCTACTTTCGCAAAGGAACTTACAAACTCCCCTCTTTACCCTACACTCCAGGTTCTCAATATTCTACCCCTCATACTCGCTTTCTATAATCTAATCAACTTCACACAGATCGAACCAATTAAGTTGGTTAGATTCATTGAATCAAATTATTAGTTTGTATCTATTGGAAAAAAATCTAAGAACCGCGATGGCTAAAAATTAGACAATTAAATAGTATATAAGTAGAAAACAACTCTCACCTTATAAGCTAGTTTTGTAGAGTTGGGTTAGGCTCTAATCTACTATTCTAAGAGTACCGTAGATTTATATCATTAAAAATATAATGATTGAAGAATCAAATTAATTAATTTTTTTATTAATTAGTAACACATTAATACAATCCACTTTACCTATCATATTTAACTGTTATATTAACATAAGTTACACAACTCATTCTATCACACACTTATCATATTTAGTGTCAATGTGTGCTTTTTTCTCTCGCTCAATACTCACTATTCAATTATGTTAAATTATTTTAATTTCATACTTTTTTATATTACTCTTTTATTTATATTTAAATATTATCTAGTATTTACACTCTTTTAATAATATGTTTATATTTAAATTTGAGATGAAATAAGATATTTCTTATTTTAAAAAATAGAAATTTCTCAATTCTTTTTTTAAGAAAATTGATTGATTCACACCAAACCAACCAATGATTAGTTAGATTTCGTTAGAATTGAAGAATTTTTTATTTTTATTTTTTAAATTCTATCTAAACCTAACTAATTAAAATTGATTGATTTGGATTTTGTTTTATTCCAAATCTAAACTAGGATTATGAACACGCGTAACCCTTACTACTATGCTACCAAAATATTAACATAACTCTAAACATTAACCTCATTTATAGATGAATAAGGTGTAATTTTTTTCAAATAATTAAGAAATCAGCGTAATGTTCAAAGAGGTCAGTGAGCACTTAAGAGGATTTGGTATAAAGATTAAAAAGAAACACGAAATTTATCTGTAATTTTGCGAAAGGAAAACATTAGGGATTGTTAGTGTAATTTTTTTTCAAACATTAATTAATATTTTTTGTATTGGTGGAAAAAAGGAAATAGAGTATGCAGCAATGGCTTTACCCTGACTGTTGTTGTGGTATGGTAGGCGTGGAGGGAGTTGGGGTGGTGACTGCCATAGGCGTTGGAGTCAGTGATGTGCAGGTTGGAGATGTTGTTGCTTATTCATGTCAACCTCTAGGCTCATACGCTGAACAACATATTGTTCCTGCAATTAAGCTTGTCCCCCTCCCTCCCTCAGTTGACCCCATTGTCGGGGCAGCCATCATGACCAAGGCCATGACAACTCGTTATTTGCTTCAAAGTTCTTTCAAGGTGTGTCTGCCTATGCTTATTGCTCAAGGAGCCCTTCTTGTTTTAACTGTTTTTTTTCTTTACATACATACTAGTCTACATTCATTAGAATATTTTTAAGAAAAGGATTCCCTTGTCTTTCACTATGGGAGATTGATTCACTAAATGCTTACTTCACAAAACATGAACCACTTCTGCAACGTGAAAAGACATGTCTCTCACTTATTATTCGGGGTCCATAGTGTTTAAGACATCCTAGCAACACACTTCTTTAACATATAAATTTTATTATTAGTTAGAATTTGTTAGAACACACAAAATTGTGTGGATCTCTCTCATTACTTTGTGATCCTCACTTGTGATTTTGAAGTTTTCAATAAATTTTAAGGAATAGAAGAAAGTATTGCTGCTTGCTAGCACTCCTCATAATGTTAATATTATTCAGTTAGACTTTAAGTTATTTAGTCCAATTATTTCATATGTATGCCTTTAAACAGACGTAGGTTGACAATGACATTATCTCTGTTGCTTGTCTACTGATTACTGGAATGTCTTCTACCATATTATCCTTCCATGTCAATCTATGTTACCTTTTCCTCCTGATATTTTTCTATGTACATGCTTTGCGTAGGATATTCAGCCTTACTTCTCCAAGTTACTGCCCCGTTCTCTTAAGTATGTCTTGCTTGGTTACTCCTGTTATAAAAGAAGACATAGGCCCCTGTAATGACTCACTCATAAGAACCTTACTTTTCTTCATACTTCTCACAATTCCTAGAACTATTTTTTTTAAGACTTTGGGAAAGGGGGAGTTACTGAGTTATTTAATATAGAATGCTGGTTAAAGTGAATTAGTGACAAATAAATAGGAGAAGTGAAGGGGAGGGAATTCATTAAGATCTGTTCATTTTGTAGATTGAGCAATATCTCTCCTATTTTCTATTCTTTTGCAATCAAGAAATACTTAGACATGGGACCTTGCTCCTCTCCCTTAGCAAACATGCTATTATTGGGTGTGTACTAAAAGGAATTCATTCAATGATATCAAATCCCTGAAATATGCAAAATGAGATTTCACCATAAAGGAGGAGAATAAAGTGATCAACAATAATCAAGTCAAATGCAACAGTTAATGAGCTAAAGATGTTCCTCATTTACTTTGAACCTATTATTGCCTCCTTCTTGCATGTGATGTTCCAAGTAGAGGACCAAAAAACTTTGTTGTAGCTAGCAGAAGTATGACATTTGCTGTTATCATAGCTGACTACAAATCAACTAAAGAGTTCATGCTTTATCCAAAACCAATTCATTTCTCATAACATTGTCCTAGCTTGATGTAAACATTAACATACTCATCAATTTTACAGGTTGAACCTGGTCACACAATTCTTGTACATGCAGCAGCTGGTGGAGTAGGATCCTTATTATGCCAGTGGGCAAATACTATTGGTGCAACTGTTATCGGAACTGTATCCAATAAAGTGAAGGCAGCTCAGGCAAAGGAGGATGGATGCCATCATGTCATAATTTATACAGAAGAAGATTTTGTTGCTCGTGTCAACGAAATTACTTCAGGCAATGGAGTTGAAGTAGTCTATGATTCTGTGGGAAAAGACACCTTCGAGGTAGTGCCCATTATATGCTATATTATGCCTAAATGAAATTTCAAAATTAAATGGCTGGGTACATGAGAGTAAATATCAATAATATTGTTGTGCCTTGCACGGTGGTATCCATCAGAGTTGTTTATTTTTGTATTCTTTAGGTGCTCCTTCTCTCATGATAATTAAATGTCCAGAAATACAAGTATATTTATGGTTCACTCTGGCGATCCTATCTTGATCATTAGTGCTTAAAACTAAAACATCAAACACCAACCAAATCCTAGATGATAAACTCTTCATTTATTGTTGTTTTTAATCTACAAATGAATTCCTATAACCTATTAAAGAGCTCAAGATTAAATACATTTCTCAAAGAAATGAATTTGTACAGTGACGCATCTTAATAGCATTGGTTTTCTCAATTGAGTTTGCCAAATGTGTGATGATGTGAAACTGAATATTCATATTTGTCAATATTTAGCAACAATAAACATATTATTGATGTGCAAACCCAGAGGACAAGAGTTGATAGGCAACACATGGATTCTAAGGTTTTCGTCTCATTCGTACAATGTATATAACCAAACTCGTCAGCTTACTTCGTTGTGACTGCACTGATATGTGTCTAGAACATTTCTTTTTTAAGATGGGTGGTTTTAATTTGAAAAATTGAACTTTTGGTTTCTATATGTTTTCATTGATGTTTCTATTATATCATTTCAAAATATTGTTAGAAATGTTGTTACCGGAATACACTGATTTGTGCAGGGATCTCTGGCTTGCTTGAAGTTTCGAGGTTACATGGTATGTTTTGGACAGTCATCGGGTACACCTGATCCAATTTCATTATCTTCCTTAGCTACCAAGTCCTTGTTCTTGACAAGGCCCACTCTAAAGCATTATAATGTCACCCGAGATGATCTATTGGAGGCTGCTGGAGAGGTGTTTGCCAAGGTTGCTTCTGGTGTCTTAAAGGTGCGAGTTAATCATATTTATCCATTGAGTGAGGCAGCCAAAGCACACGAAGACATGGAAAATCGGAAGACCACTGGATCTATTGTCTTGTTACCATGACAATATCACTTGTATGTAGGCCTTACACATCAACTTCATGTTTAATTCTCCTTGAATGGAACTATACCGATGATTTATGTCATTGAATAACACAAGTCTTTGTATCTCTCGAATTTGTTTCAATATCCTTAGATCAAATCAATGGTACTCTGACAGGAGATGCTCTCTCTAACAGTTAGGGCCAAAATTCCCGTGATGTAATTTTTAGGATAGTATTTGGTTGGAAGGAAATAGGAAGAGAAAAAATTTTATTCTTTGCTTTAATTTTTAGGAGACGAGTGGAGAAGGAATAGAAGAATAAAATGTCTTATCTAATTTTATTAGAAGATTTAAAGAGAATCGAGAAATTTTCAAAATATTTTTTAATATATTTTAAGGAGAGATTCGTTTATTCTAGGAGTAGGTCTATTTAGATTTATTCTATTTAATAATTTTTGTTTTTAGATCAAATTTCAATAATTTAACTGTTGAATTTAAAGTTCTTAATACCTAGATCAAATCTATAAATTTTTAAAAAAATTTAAAAATTATTCGATATTTCATTTCACTAATTCAAATTAATGAATAATCATAAAATCATTTTATACATTAATTTGAATTAATGAAGCGAATTATCAAATAATTTTTAAATTTTTTAAAATTTATAAATTTGATCTATGCAGAACTTTAAATTCAATGATTGGATCATTAGAATTTGATGTAAAATATGAATTATTGAATAGGTAAATTTATTTTTAGAGTAAATAAATCTCTCCTTTTTTATATATTTATATTCAAAATTATAGATGTAAAAATAAATTAATTTTTAGAATGTGACATTTTCTGTGGATAAAAAAAGAAAAAGAATTTAACCTTTTCTGATTGATACGGTGGATATATAATAAAATAATGAGAGAGCTGCATTAGCAATCGAATAGCTTATGAAATAATGGTATGAGAATATGTTTAGAAGGAATGCATTAGCCATTAGGCATTGAAGGATAACGTAAGCGGGTGTTAAGAGTGCAAGTTTAGGCATAGCGTAAAGGTGCATAGCTTTATGTGCACGCTCTGAGTCTCAACTCTCATGTGACAACGTGGATCTCCTCTCTCTCTCTCTCAGCTCGTGATTTTCGTTTTAGGTTTTTGTGTTTGTCATAGATTTGAAATCCTCTTATTGTGGGTTGGGCAAAAATGCTGAAGGTACCGGAGCACCAGGTGGCGGGGCACAAGGCCAAGGACGGAGTGATGGGCCCTCTGGTGGATGACACGGGAAGATTCTACAAGCCTCTCCAAAACGACGACCGCGGCTCCAGGGAGCTGTCGTTTTACTCCTCTCTCTCGTCCCACTCCCACCCAAGCATCCCCCTGCCCTTCTTCCCCGCCTTCCACGGCACCAAAGTGGTGGAGGCCTCCGACGGCTCCGGCCCCCACCCCCACCTGGTCCTGGAGGACCTCCTCCGCGGCTACGCCAAACCCTCCGTCATGGACGTGAAGATCGGCTCCCGTACCTGGCACCTCGGAGACTCCGAGGACTACATCGCTAAGTGCCTGGCGAAGGACCGAGAGTCCTCCACCATTCCCCTTGCCTTCAGAATCTCCGGCGTCAAGGACGCCCTCTCCGCCTGGGAGCCCCCCCGCAAGTCCCTCCAGAGCCTCTCCGCCGACGGCGCCCTTTTCATTCTCAGGAAGTTCGTCTCCTCCAACGCCTCCGATCCCGACTGCGCCTTCGCCTCCGAGGTTTACGCCGCCGTGCTCGAACGCCTCCTCGAGCTCAAAGCCTGGTTCGAGGTTCAGACGCTTTACCACTTCTATTCCTGCTCTCTTCTCCTTCTCTACGACAAGGGCGATGGGAAAAGGAAAGTGCTGGTCAAACTCGTTGATTTTGCCCACGTGGTGCCTGGGAACGGTGCCATCGACCACAACTTCTTGGGTGGCCTTTCTTCCTTCATCAAGTTCCTCAAGGATATACTGGCACAACCCACTATTCATCAATGACTCTCTTTTTTTCACTTCCAAATTCTACAAATAATGTCTTTCCTGTTTTCCTATTTTCCTAAATCTCAACACTTCACTCATGTATTAATAATGTCTTTACAAACTTTCTGTTATGTTCTTTAGAAATTTTGTTTTCAAAGAGGCTGCAGATTTGTTTTCTAATCCATCATGTGGGACTTTATCTTTTCTTTACTTTTTGTCTGACATAGCAAAAGCATTTGAAGCCCTCCCTTGAGAATCACAAGGGCTTAAATTCTATTGTTTTCATACCTTAGTGATTTTATGCTTCTGCTTGAACTAGTTCAATACTAAAGGAATTTCAATGATTTTCACACAAAATCAGGTGTGCTAAATGTGATTATGTAAGAAATTTGACGTAATTATGAAGTAGAGTTCAAGTTAGTAGTCAATACTTTGGTCCAGATTTTAACTCGAAATGTTACTGAATTCAACTGATGCAACTAGCAAAAATATATGTTGTATTACAGTGATCACAATGAGATGAGGTTTGTGTTTCGTTACAAGTACCAAATCCATATGCGTAATTTAAGAGGTTACTGGTGCAGCAGCTGAGGATTCGCTTTGAGAAGGTTCTACAGATGCCTGGTTTGTCTGATTTGCAAAACCATCTCAGAGAATCTAAACTCCGGGATCCTTAATTTGACCACTAAAGGCTCTTTCAATTTTTAATCATTGGCTTTTGTTTTGATGACCCTAACTTTCTTCTCCTTCACTAAAAACCGCTTTGCAAAAGAGGTTCTCCAGCATAACAAAGTCCACTTAAGCCATCTCTGATTGGGATCAAAATCCTCTGATTGATACTTTCTCGGCTTTGTCCAAGTCTCTTGTTATATTATTAAATTAATATAATATTGCCAAATCAAACTTTTATATGTAGAGAGAGAGAAAAGGGGTTTCAAGAGTATGTTTCCGTATATTTATTCTATTTAATTATTCATCTTTTACATTAAATTTTAATAATTTAATTGTTAAATTAAAAAAAATTAATGTATAGATTAAATCTATAAATTTTTAAAATTTTAAAAATTATTTGATATTTTATTTTATTAATTTAAATCAATAAATAATTATAAAAATATTTTATACATTGATTTGAATTTATATAACAAAATATCATATAATTTTTAAATTTTAAAAAATTTGCAAACTTAACTAATATATTACGAATTTTTAATTTATTAATTAATTTATTAAAATTTAATATAGAACATTAGTTATTAAGTGAAGTAAGTCTATCAAAGTAGACTTACTCTTAAAGTAAATGAATACCTCCTCTCTCTCTCTCTCCAAATTTTTAAAAAATTTGAAAGTCATTCGATACTTCATTTCATTAATTCAAATTGACGCATAATCATAAAAACATGTTATCCGTCAATTTGAATTAATGAAACGAAGTATCAAATGATTTTAAATTTTTTTAAAACTTTGCAGATTTAATCTGTGCATTAAAAACTTTAAATTTAACAGTTGGATCATTGAGATTTGATATAAAACATGAGTTACTAAACAAAGTAAATCTAGGTAGACTTACTCCTAGATTAAATAGATCCTTCCTCTATATATATAATTAATAAATTAATAAATATATAAAATAGCAAACAATATTGAAGTAATTCTGTTATAATAATATTTTCATAAAATAATTATAAAAGGAGATGTTTTAATGATAACAAACGAAAAGTTTTTCTAAGAAAATATTTTTTTTATTAAACGAAGTATAAAACGCTAGCTGTAATAAGACGTTCAACCAGACAAAACATATTATCTAATAAACTAGCATTTACTTTATATCATTTATGATGTTTAACAAAGTTGTGTATCTAAATGTTTTCTTAACAGATTGAACCTTAAAAGTTTTCTTGGATTTCACAATCTATTAAAAAGGATCAATGACATGCTTTGCGTCAGAAATAGGACAAAGCAAGTCCATGTAATCACATAAAGGGTCAGTTAAAGCTACGTCAAAACTACACAATTCTAACAAACATTTTGTTTCATTCGTTTGATACCTAAAAGTTGATAAGTAGTCTCCTTAATAAGATAAGAAGTGACTTTTGGGTGAAATGCATTTAATGTTTCAACGGATACTTCTTTCCTCGAGGAACCGAAGACAAAGATAGACGAAGCAAACTTGTGAGGAATGCTCAAAGTGTTGCAACTGTCATCTTCATTAAGGCTACTATATAAGAAGCTTAACTCTTGGAAAGAAGAAGAGAATGATTTTGTACAAATATTATTCATTCTTCTTATAAAGAAATTTTTTGTACTTCATTAGTTGTATCATGTCTTGTCTGTAAGAGAAGCAACATATGTAAAATCTTAACCAAAGATAATTGTTTGTTATTAGGTTGAACCTGAAAAGGTTTGTCTGTAAAAGAATACTTAATTATTTAAGCCTAAAGAGGTTTGGTGTATAGAGAATACTTAGATAGTTGCTTGAAGAGGCGAGTCAAAGAACAATTAAGATTGAGGTAGAAGTGACTTAAGAAAAGAATACTTATATCTTTCATAAATATAGTAGAACTCAATATAGTTGGATTGAGAACTGGACGTAGTCTTAATGATTGAGACTAACCAATAAAATTGAGTGTTCAATCTTATGATTCCTTGTGAAGCATATCTTCGTGGTTTATGTTACTACTTCTGATGGAATCATGCTTAGGAGGGCAAGAGGTGACACATTGAAGGATCTAAGAGGAATGGGGTAGACATGAAGATTTAGACTAGTTTAGAGCCTAATGGGCCTGGTGGGCTTGGTGGGCCCAAGTTGTCCCTCACATGGGGCACACCTTGAGATTTACATTGTCTTGTATTTGTATTAGTATAGGTTTCATATATTTTGGTCTTGTATTTTGGACCACCTAGAATAGGATTTTTAGGTCATAGACTTAATGGGCTTGTTTTGTGGGCCTTATAGGCCTTGGGTATTTTGGTACCCAATATTGGGCTCATTTTATTTATTTTATTATTTCCTATTATATGTATTTGTTTGACCATTGTATTTAGGCTATTAGAGTAGGAATATTGGAAGAATACTTAATAAGGCAAAGCTAGCTTAGGTTTTATTTAGAATGCATTTTAAGTTGAATTTGGGTCACATGTTTTTAACCAAGGGTGGTTGAACATGTGCACACTCAAATGCATCTTAAACTCATTCCAAATGAAACTTAAATTGCCATGATGCATGGCCATCATATGGCAGCCAAGGAATTTGAATTCAAAAATTTAGAGAATTTTGATCAGATTTTGATTCCACCAAATTCTCTTCTCAAAGTCACCTTTTCACGCCTAGCTTAGAGCCTTGAGAGCTTCTAGTTCTAGTTGCATTTGTGAACAACCCATCGCTCACTTTGCTTTGGTGCTTCCTTCCTCTTTTAATTCTGCAAATATTCTTCTTCTTTGCTGGACTTTGACGTCCAAAATTTGGTTTAAGCAAGGACTCCAAGGCTGGAGCAAAGCCAAGGGAAGATTATCAATCTTATTCACCTAGCTTTAACATCAACTTCACTATTTGAAATAGTACGAGTTCTTTTATAATACTATTCAACCCCCTTTTAGTGTTTGTATTTCTCTCCACAATTTGGTACTCAACCATAGATGGCCAGTGTAACGACCCGACTTAGGCCATCACATCAACAACCAATAGGACAACTAAAATAAAATAATATAAAATAAAGAAAAGAGAGCAAATGCTAGCTATCCTAGAGTGAAAATAGTCTAAATCGTACAAATTGTTTTCATCATATAAAAGGTAACTTTATAAGAGAGTTGTTAGTCAAATAGTCTCGTATAACTTAAGAGGGGCGGGGG